ATTTGGGTAAATTTATGGAATAATTAGCATGCACAAGAATTAAATTATGTAAAAATTATAGTCTACTATTTTCTTATGTAAAATTTAAACGTATGTATGATACTAAATGACTGTATGAATCCAAATAAAAATAGAACATATAGGTTGTAGAGAAGGTAAGTAGTAGATCTATATATAGATCAACTTTAAAAGTATAATATAGTTAATTTATTCTTATTTAACAAAAAATTGTAAGAACGACATGATAGGGAAAGTAAAAATAAATTGTGCATTAAAAAGATGATGCATGTACAGATATAAGTGCGCGTTTTATTGAAATGTATATACGTATTTAATCATAAATCTGGCTATTACACTCCTATATCGAATTTGGAGCTATGTTGGAATCATAAATCTACTCAGTATATTATTCTCTTTCTCAATTTTTTTTTATTTCTATTCCATTTGAATTTCTATTTTCTATATTTTTACACTGGATCTACAACTCGTGTATGTCTACAATTTATATCTTTTTCCCATGAAGACATCCTTCTCTGCTCTAAGTTCGGTGTAGGTATCAAATATTGATCATATTATAGCTATTATGTGAAGACAGCTACTAAATTTTGTAATAAAAAATTTACTGGCAATGCTTCTGAAATGCAGGGGAGACTGCATATGGATTGGATAGATTGGTTATATTGTTAGCAGGAGCTAGTAAATAAGAGATGTCATAGCTTTCTTGAAGAAAACTATCGTACAGTGTGCTCTCACCCGAGCACCATCTGAAGTCGATCCACAGCAGCTAAAAGATCTTTCAATCTAAAACCAATAATCTCTTCTGTTTTTAGTCTGAACATATTTCTAAACCAGAGTTTCAAACATATATTTATACGGGAGAATTTGACTCTGCTTCCCGGTTCATATGATCCATTCAATTTTGATTAACGAGGGTCTTATTTTTGTATACTTATCTTACTATTTTTTAAAAAACTCGTAACAAAGAATGAAATTTTTTCGCTAAGGAAAACATATTTCTTACCAGATGCTTAATCAATGCATATAAGTGTGATATTCAGTCTTAAAATTTTATTTCAAAAGATTTATTGTTAAACATATTTTCAGACTAATTTTGTACACTGAAACTAAATATCTTTCAATTTTGAGAGCAAAATTAATCTTGAGAGCAATAAAGGAGGCTGATAAGGAAAAACATGCTAATAGATTTAAGATTAAATAGAAAAAAAAGAAAGAGAAATAGGAAGGGCTGCTGAATGATGCATTAACATGGCAATACTATTATGATATATTGTTTACATTTTGAAGCCTTATGAAACACAAACAGATATGCATGAAGAACATATTGCGTTCAAGGACAAAAACAGAACAAGAAGACTGGAATATAAAATATATATAGACACGTTTATATCAATGAGATTATGTCAAATTCAATAATAACGATAGAATTTAACTTTTCTCTTGCGTTATACCGAGTGCATGACATATTCATTATCAGATAAGATCATCTTTTTGACCATGATAAAATCGAGCCTTCTGAGTTACTTGAGAACAACTAAATGATATGTTAATACGGGAAATGCATAAAAGGCAAAAACTCTTGAACTATTTCACTTTAGTTAATTTATGCATGATGTAAGAGCATTAAGTTATATAAATCTTCATAAACTTTATATTTTGTGTTCGAAGATCGTGGCATTATGATCATTTCCATGCCATTAATAAATTTCTTCTTTGAGATTGAACCAAACTTGATGCAACAATTTATTCATGAATGCATCTAATAATAAAAACCAAACAAAAAAACTGAAATAAATAAATAAAAAACAAATAGATAGATCATATCGATGAGACTATCCAAGATCGCCGTGCTCATACGATCATTGACAAACGAAGAATAAGTTTTTCCCTTAAGATGTAAGCAAATCAAAATTCATAAATGAATGTTTTACAATGTACTAGTAAGAAAGGTAAAGAATTCTTGATAGTATCAGAAATTTAAGTTTTGGATTATGTCAAGATATTCCTTACCTTATATTTTAATGAAAAAAGGATTCTAGCCAGAAATGTAAATGCATAAAAGTTAAGTAAATCCACCTAACTCAACTTGAATAGCCTCAAGTGGTACCTCCAAACCTTATAAATACCTTGCGTAGTTTACAATCGTCAATTGCAATAATAGTATACTCACATCTTCTCATCATAATCTCCATTATCTTCTTCTCAATTTGCTAAGGTTATCTTTTGTTATTTTCAGTTTTAGCAATGGCAGATGAGGGGACATCAAGTAAAAGTAAAGGTCATCAAAAGATCGAGTTAATAAAGATGGAGAATGAAGCCAGTCTCCAAGTTACCTTCTCAAAACATCGAAGTAGCCTTTTCAAGAAGGCGAGTGAACTTTGCACTCTTTGTAGACCAGATGTTGGCCTTATTGTTTTCTCCCCTAGAAATAGGGCCTTCTGCTATGGCAATCCTAATATCGATATTGTGATTGATCATTTTCTTAGTATTGATGTTCGTCCAGCTAAGATACTGACAATGACAATGATACTCAACAAACAATCAGTAGGATCAATGAGGTGTTAGCAACTTATTTGTAATCTTTTTTTTATAATATCCATTTATGATAATCTAAAAATTATCATGAGTCACTAATACTTAAATCTATGATGAATAACCCGTTGAATGATTCAAGCATGGCGTTAGATCCTGTTGATGACTTGAAGGCCATGCCTAGGGATCTCTTCAATAATTTAGTCATGATTGAGTCAGATGATCCAATTGCAGCACTTAATGCAGGAGATAATCCAGACATAATGTCTGATGCCTTTGGGAACCAAATTGCAACAATGGATATTAATCTATCAAATGATCCAAATATCAGGCCTAATGAGTTTTTTAATCCAAGTACTATACCTCATGCACCAAATGATCCAATTAGCACAACATCCGATGCTCTAAATATGATGCGTATTGTGCCAGATGATTCAAATCTAGACTCAGTATTTGATAGCTTCACTCTAGAGATGCTGTTTGCGGATCCATTGGATGATGAGAACTTCATTGTGGACAATCCAAATGAGGCGGCTAACAGTGATAATCCGAAAAAAATGTCGCCTCCTCTTGCAAGGAATGTTCTAGGAAGCGGCCAAGGATTTTAATGACTAAGTTTGTTGATTATCTTGAAAAGAATCAAGGGCTAGTTTGAAGAGTTTCACTATCGTGTCTTTTGTTTTTGTTTGTCTTGTCTTTCAAATAATGCTTTGGGAATTTGGGATTTCAATTGGCTTGAGTTTTGTATTTGCTTACTTTCAGGTGGTGTTCTTGTGTGTGCGTGTGTGTGTGTGTGTTTTTTTTTTCTTTATAAATGTTGTCGTTGTTAGTCTTGGATCGAGTTAATAAGTATATGTGTGTTTCATGAGTGTTGTTTATTTTACATTCTTGTTAAGTACAATGCCGCAAATCTTTAAAAATATTTAATCTTCTATAATCACCCTATAAAGTACATTTATATGATAGTTCTGTCTCTTTATATATATGTGTGTGTATGTATATGTATGTATGTATATGTATATACAGTAGTCAGTTATCTCGCATTTATTGTAAACTATATCTCGAGAGATTTAAAAAATTTTAGAATTTGGTATCAACACACGAGTATATGAAAATATTGAAGCTCTTTAAGTACGTAATAAATTTATTATTTTTAGAAAGTTAATTATTACATTATATATAAATATATGTACGTGTAAATCTGTGACTTTGAAGAAAAAAGGTAAAAGATTATTCCGCATACTCATTTCGCTTCCCTATTCCATTATATGGAAATATATAAATCGTTGGTATATATTTAATTTGGTAGCATGCTTAAGAGTTTGTATAATTTTAGCTTGTATTTAATTTAAATTACAATACAAATACCACATATCTAAATTGGAAAAGAGTTATGATTCTAAATCAAATTCAAATTATAGTTTTTAAAAATCTTTAATATGAGTTTGGATTTTGTGATTGTATTAAAAATTCTGGATTCACTGATATAATGTAAAATAATTCAATTGACGTTTAGTCTCAATATCCGAATGTTAAAATGAGAATGCTTTTGTTATTATTAAAAAATATGTAAATAATTTATTATGAAAAATTATATATGTCATTCTCATATATATTAGTTTCAATATAGATATTCAAAAGGACAATATAATATTCTCATCACAGTTAAATGTAATAAATTATATGATAGATATAATTTATAATGTATATATATATATTTTTATAATTATAATCTATCCAAAATGCAATAGATTGAAAGATCGATCATTCTCTTAAATATATTATTTTCAAATTTTAATATTCAAAATAATAAATAATGTGAAAGAGGTTATAAACTATTTAATTCGTCAGGATCTATTATATTTTCAAAAAGAATTATAATAGTTATTTACATATATAATATTCAACATACAAAACTTAGTAAATTAAAGATTGATCATTTTCTTAACTATGGCGAAATACTTTTAAATTTTATTATCTGAAAAGAAAATATAGTATACTCATCGCAATTAGTAATAATAAATTACATGTGTAATAACATGTTAAAATTTATAAGCATTTTGCTATTTATATACTAAGCACATAATAAAATTTGAATGACGCGAGAGATTTCATTTAAGTCAATGTTCATTAAAAAAGATAATTCAATCAATTATTTTTTGTCAAATAAAAAGAATATCTTAGAAGCTCTATGTCAGATTATTTAGGAAAGATTCTAAAAACTTCAAGTGCATTTATTTAGACTAGTCTAAATTAGTTAAATTATATTCTCTCCATTATTACAAAATCCTAAAGGAGTAAGTAATTTAGACACAGTTAATTTAAATGCAGGAATACTTAAAAATTGTAATTATCAAATTGAGTAGTCTATAAATATACTTCATTCTACTTCATCCTTATTCAATCATTCAAATCATAAATTAATCTTTTTATTCGTGCTAAATTTATCCATGGAGCCTCCTTGGAAGTTAAAGGGCCGCCAAATGATTGAGATGGTGAAGATCAAGAAGGCGACGAATCTCCAAGTTACCTTTGCCAAACGACCGGCTAGCATTTTCAAGAAGGCGAGTGAAATTAGCACACTTTGTGGCGCTGAATTTGCAGTGATTATTTTTTCACCTGCCAAGAAAGTGTTCTTTTTTGTCAGTCCTTCTATGGAAAAGTTGATCAATCGATTCAGTGGCCTAATAGAACAACCTCCTTCAGCTAACAGATGTATGATGGATGCTCATCGAAATGCTTATCTCCAAGGGCTCAACTCACAGCTAAATAAGGTATAATCACTACCATATCTATACTATTTGATTTTTATAACTAATCCATGAATTTTTTTTGGACATGATTATATATAATTAAAGCTTAATGCCCAACTGGATGCTAAAAAGAAGTGAAGTGTGGAGCTTAAGAAGGTGATGAAGGAGAATGCAAGTAAAGCCTGGTGGATGGGTTCCATAGATGACATGAACCTTTCACAGCTTCAGCAATTTCAAGCTGCTCTTGAGGAATTATACGAGAATGTTATAAAAGTTGCCAAAGAAAAAGATGCTGAAGAGGACAATATTAATCCTAATTCTGATGATCAGCTTTTTCTTGGAAGCTCTTCCAATAGAACTGGACTTCCATTTGAATCTATCCCCTTAAATGCTATCGTTGGTCCCAAAAACATGGTTAATCCGAACATGAATAGGGTTAATTCCAACATGGTTAATCCAAACGTGATTAGCCCCAGCATGATTAATCCTAACATGTTAATCCTGCAGCTTATATGAAGATGCTTCGTGACATGCTCAACAACAATAATCCAAACATTCCCTTGTCCAATTCCATGATTCCCAATAATCCAAACATGGTCTCTAATGTCATGCCTATCAACAGTAACCCTACAAACATGATGCTATCGGCGGCAAATCTGATGATCAACAATTATCAAAACATGGTTCCAGTCGATCATATGATGATGAACAATGACCAGAACATGATGGTGGGGGGATCGGATGCGATTAACGATTAAAACTTTATGTATACCAATGGTCTTAACAATGTGAACATGATGCCAGCTACAGGATATAATATGACTCAGAATAATGGTGGAAACGGGTAGGAGTTTTTCAAAATTTAAAGTTTATGGGAATGTGTTTTGATTAGTAAGGTCACAGAGTGCTCATACAGCTTGACTTTCATATTTAAGCTATATTATCAATGGAATGTAAAGTGATATATTTTATAAATAAAGGATCTATTAGCTTTCATCTTAACTCTAATTTTATAGTACTATATGCTATGCATGCATTATAAATCTTATATAGACGTGCATTGTTTAATACATATTAGGGCCTAGATTTCACCCCAAAAGAGAGAGAGAGAGAGAGAGAGAGAGAGAGAGAGAGTGTGTAACACCCAAGTAATTTAATTTTTATCTTACTATTTTTATTTTTATTTATTTGAATTTTTTAGATTTTTAATTAATTTAATTTGATTTAATTTAATTTAATTTAATGAAAATAAAAATAATAATAATGATAAAATTGGGTAAAAATATTATTTGAATTTAATTGAAATTGATTTTGGGAAAAAGGGGTGAAAATTTAGATTATGGGTGTGTTTTTGAAAAGAAAATAAGAAATCGGGGGTCAAAACACAATTTAAAAAAGTTGTGCCACGTCAGCAGCCACGTCAGCGGCCCGGTCAGCAGCCCCGGCCAACCAGGACACGCCACGTGGCAAGAAAATGCTGACCAGGGGACGGGTCACGTGGGCGATCCGCGTGCGTGCGATCAGACGGCCCAGTTCCATTCCCGCGCGCACGGATGGCCCAGATTCAATCAGGCACGGACGGCCCAGATTGCATCGTGATGGACGGTCCAGATTTAATCCCAATTAAATTATGATCGAAAGGTCTAGATTTAATCTTGATGGACGGTTGAGATTAAAAGGCAAAGGGTATAAATAACCCCACCCACACCTGACCACAAAACCCTAGGCGCAGTGCCTCGCCGGAGGAGCCGGCCACCGCCACCCGGCGCCGCACCGGGGAAGTTTTCGACCGCCAAGCGAGGTAAATTTTGACCTCCTGGCTCCTTTTTCGATGCTGAGTCCACCTATGGCCAAATCGGAGCCAAAACATCGGCCAAACGGCCAGAAAATCTAGCCGAAGTCCAGCGGCGCCACCGCGCCCCCCCTCTATTTTTGCCTCCGATGAGGCCCTTCCCGGCCTCCGTTCGATGCAAATTTTATACCACTGTGATCATCGTTCTTTTCTCTACAGGTTGATATGAGCCAAACATCAAAACACGACTCACGCTGGAGGAGCCACCGCACCCGAGAGCACCGCTGCTGGTAAGTTTCGGTTTTTTGTGATTTTTTGGCCCACCAAGGGCCCTAGGGTTGTTTTATCACAGGGACCGATGCAAGTGTGGCCGAATTCGGCCGAAAACGGCCAACCCGAGGCGAATCACTGCTGCTTGCGTCGGTGCCGTCGCCGGAGCACGGCGGAGCCGCTGTGCCAGAATTTCAATATTGGCCGAAAGGGGCCCTAGGTCTGATTTGAGATTTTTTGGGACACGTGCAGGTACCGGTAGTGCGTTTCAGTTTTTCAGAAAAAATTCAGAGAAATTTGGGACAGCCTGTAGGCACACTGTAGAGTCAAATTTAGACCCCAAAACAAGTAAAGACCCCTCACCCTATTTCCTATCACGGTATTAAAGCTAAATAAATAATTAAACTGTACCTTGTGACTTTATAGATGTATAATTGATTAAGGTTGCCAATGGAGCCCGAGTCTAATATCGTGTTGGTCTGTTGTTGTTTGATCTAATTTTCAGTATTAAATGCAGTATGATGTTTGATGTAATTATGTTATGATCTCGTATGCATGAATCATGGTTTCTTTCATTATGGTTTGTATTATGGTGAACCTGGTACTGTATTATCTTGTTTGGTGTCGATGAGTGGTTTACATATTTGTGTATGGTTGGATGAGTGAGACCAAGGAAAATGGCAAAAAGGTTATGTGAATTGATGAGTGAAAAATGTGGACAGCCTGACTAGATATCCTAGGAGATGGTGGACAGACCGAGTCCGTAGGGAACCCTACCGGAAACGTGGTCTCTCATACCGGACGGGGTATGGAGACCTTATGTGTTTTGGCGCCCATACCGGACGGGGTATGGGGACGGCCCGTTTCACCCTCATACCGGACGGGGTATTGAGGTTCATGGTTTTGGCACCCATACCGGACGGGGTATGGGGACGGCCCATTTCACCCTCATACAAGACGGGGTATTGAGGTTCATGGTTTTGGCGCCCATACTGGACGGAGTATGGGGACGGCCCTGGAATCAGGTTGTAAATGTTAATGGTTCATGTGTAGCGGGGTCCCCCTATGGATCCCCATGGATACTAGCAGGCTGGTAAAAGAGGAAATCTGTTTTCTGATGATTGAAATGTAAAGGTATGATATGTGTTATGTTATAAAGTGTGTATGATTTCATGATATTATAAGGTTATTGTTTTCATATGTTGTTTTCATAGATCTCACCGAGGTAAGTGGACAGTAAAAATTTTTATGTTAATAAACTAGTTCGTTA